TAACTGCAAAGGAAAATGGTAACAGGCCCATAACTATGACTTTGACCTTGTCTGCTGTGCATTTCATCTTAACGACATAAAGACCTTAATGAATCACAGCAGATCTATAAGTTTACATATATTAAAAGTTAATGTGGCTACAGGTTCACACATAGACACAAACACTGTGCATGTGCATAGAAATACAGACACATACAGTACAGCCCCACAGAACTTCACTCACTGACTCATACAGTTTAACACATTATTTACTACTTGGAGGGTGCCACAGGGAAAATATCTTAAGCCACATCACCAACACAGCCAGAAAGCAGTGGGTAGCGATGGTGGTTAGTAAATGATGTAGTAGTGTGGGCAGCTCAATAAATATCTTTGTCTTCAGAGCACAGGGTGAAGCATGGCGCAGAGAAATCACATTTCACACCAGACTCCAGCTTGGGTCGGATAGTAGGCTAAACCATGGGCGGTACAATCGCTGGCCTTTGTTAGGTTTTTCCACAAGGCAGAACATATATACATGCAAATAGATACACACATGCATGTCGGCCATCTGCACTGGGCAAATACTGTATATGCAAACACATGTCCACACCATTGGGGTACATTGTGCGCCACAAAAGATGGCACCTATGCTTCCTCAAGAATCAGATTAACATTCAGCTACAGCGCTAATGTTCCTGCATCAACACAGACAGTTTCATTGTTCTTCACAGGCCCTAGAGGTATTAGTAAACTATGAATGAGCAGAGCGTGTATCTTTTGGAAGTCATATACATGTCATTAGCACTGTTTCAGCTCAGTGAGTAAATCAAACCACAGGAACATGTTACCAGATGCCAATGTGCCTTCTGGTATGTTCAGGAATGTGTCACCAAATACGTTTTGCAGTCAGATCTTAGTAACACAAAATTAAAAACAAACAGTATTTTCTACTTTCCGACCATATCATCCAAATCAGACCACTTCCACTGTCTCAGGAATAAGAAACTTCAGCTGTGCTATTGTGTGCAATGTTTGGGATTATAATACGCATCTAAGGGGATCACTGGTGTGACCTGAAGTATTGTGGTTCTGCTTAGGAGTAAGGGCAAACTGTTTGCCATTGCCCCACCTGAGCTGTGATACACTGAACTTTGTTTAACATGTGTGGTCGTATAGTTGCTGAAGCAGAAACCACCATTTTTGATTTGATTAGTAGACTGTAGTGATCCTGGAGATGTAATTGTCAGGTTAAAGTGCTGCTAATGTAAACCTGTTGGTTTACATTGCAAACTTTCAAATGGCAAATATCTGCCAGGCTTTTTTGTAAAGAAGCTACAGGAAGTGCAGCTTTATTTGTCACAGCAGTTTGCAAAGAACTAACAGCTCCTTACAGTGTTTGATAATTGGTGTACACAGAAGCATAGAGATGTGCCCACACAGTTTTGGGGCAAATCATTTTCAAATATTACAAACAAGAAATATCCCCCAAAAAGACTGCAGGGGAAAAGCACTCATTTTAGCATGGGTAAACCTCAAACCTCCTTTAAGTCATCAAGGTAGCAGCACCTTCTACCATGGTATCCTGTCGTATGGAAAACCACTTGTGCTTTGCATGCATCACGGGCTGTGATCACAGTAGCTCAAAACGCAGTACACTATGTGGCACAGCGCCCCCAGCAATCTGGAAGGCTGGGTGAGGATGGAAATAGGAAGGAAAAGAAAATCATGCACATAGCCTGTGCGTGTGTGTGTGTGTGTTTAAAAGAGAGACAGAGAGAGTCTGAACACAGAGGGAGGGAGGAATGTCAAACACCAACAACATTCCTCTGCTCCTCCTGGTTCTGCCTGCAGCACTTTACATTGTCTTCTCTTCTTTTGTGCAACTTCACTTTTCACAAGACACCTACCAGTCCAGGAAAAAAAACACAAGAAAGAATAGCAGGGCTGCATGAATCTGAGCTGAAAGACTAAAAAAAAAAAATCATGCAAGCTGAAATTCATTTCACTGCTTTGGCACACTTAACATTTCGGCTAAAAACGACAAAAGGTTCAAAAGTCTCATGGCACATTTCTCAGACGAGCCACTGAACAATATCAATATGCAACATCATCATAATTTTTATACTGAGAACCACATGTTCATGAAAAATGTCAAATAAGAAAAGTACACTTCGAATGGAGATTGCAGTTATATTCACAGAAGAATACAGGCCTAGCCCTTGAAATAAACAACTTGGCCAAAAGCTAAATCTACAATCTGCTGACTACACTGCATATAATGTCACTATGATTCATTATAATGTCATATATAAATTACAGAGAAACAAAGCAACACACTCTGTCAGACACACCCTTTTCAAGATTTAGTGCATTTGGTTCAAGCACAACACAAAGTTAGATAACATAAACAAACAGGCATAAACTAAGTGAATTAAAATTCAATCAATGTTTGTAATTTTTTTGGTTGTTGGTAGAGCTACACCAACTGCATCGTTCTTGGCTGATTCCGACTTTCTTTCTAAGAATTCTGACGGCATACAGAGATGCTTTTGTAACTTTTCTTTAATGAAAATTTAAACTGTAATAAAAATAAAACACCATATTCAAGTTAAACATTTTCCGTTCCTCTCTTTTTTTTGTTTTTTTTTTTACAAACCACCAACTAAAGTGCAATATTTGTACTTTTCTGAATATAATCATAACAGAAACAATAACAGTAACAATGTCTGTTGCAGTACATCAGTCCTACTTAGCACACAGGTCTTTCTGAAGTGTGTGTAGTTTGTATTTGCTGTGTTTTACCATGGATTGGATACACTGTACATATATATGCCTTTCATGTGTAGCCAGTAATTTCCTTATTGTGTACTATTTGCCGGAGTTTTGAACCGCAGGTTTCCCTTCTCCAAGGTGTTTCTGTAAACTCCTCTGTGTGCTGTTTGTACACCAAGCCCTTCCAATCTCCACCGATCGATCGGTGGATCTCTAGTTTTTTAAATGACCTTGGTCTAATCAGGCCTCTAAAAGGCAGCATGCTTCACATTTGTGTCACAGTTTAATGACATCATTATACAGTATCTTGTTCTACTAGACCTTATTTAAGCAGCTCTTCTTCCATTTAGGTGCCATTTAGTAGTTTCAGCCACAATGGCCACAGTGACTTTTACAGGTTTATTGCACTTTCTGTGCAAGACAACTTTTGAGTCTTCAGAGTAATACCTTGTCCACTGTGAGCTGACCCATGATCTAAACATGCATTTTAGGACCTGCTATTGAGCTTCAATCTCTGGACACTAATTAGTACTTAATTAAACACAGGTTTACAGAATCTGCCACTGTTTAAAGATTGATCTGAAATTTTGTGTTGTCAATAATACATAGGTCTTGTTCTTGTACAGGCAGAAGAGTCAGTTAATGTTAACCCCTCAAACTCTATTTAGCTACAGTGATATTGGTGGATAATCCACGTGTGATCCATTTCTTCATCGATGTCAGTTCTCCTTATTCAACAAGGCAGTCACACAAGGTTTCTGAACCCATTTTGAATTCTTCATCTTGCCCTTGCTGTTCAACATCTGGCCAGCAGTGCAACTCATCTAAGACTGAACAGTCAGTAGTAGTAGGCCTTATTATCAATATGAATCAGACCATAGCCCTATGACTTTGAGACACATGTATCTTAGCTTCAGCGTGTCCTTGTCCTTATGTAGGTGTACAACCATATACTGTCTTTAAGCCATGTGAAAACGGTCTAAGTATTAATAATACGATAACAGAGACCAAAAACAAACAAACAAAAACAGAAGAGTAACGTTAAAAACAGTATCCTCAACCACTGTAAGGATGTTATAGTAACGTTAATACCACGGTTAAATCATGTTAGCTTGCCTGTGTTTTGGGTAAAAGGTCATACGTGTGACCCATCCGAAGAGACCAGGTACAAAACTGTCACATAGTACAAGTCAAAATGCTGTCGATAAGACATTCTTCCATTGAAATGTACCTGCAAGAACAGTTTTTGCCTTTCAAAAGTTACTTTTTCAAAGCAATTCACCTGACATTACCTAGTCAGACGCCAAGTGTAGAAACAGTGCGTAAGTAGAGATGCTGTCTGCAGTGCCTCGCGCCCCGCAGATGCAACAAAACGTGATCATGACACAATATTTAGCAACAATTGTGCCGCTTTACCACAATAAAAACTTACCCAAGGAGAGGTGGATAAAGCAGAAGACGAATATTAGTGACTTGGCCGAAGAGAGACCAGGGATCCGCTCCATATTTTTAGTAAAATCCACATAAGGTCGCCAGCCCAAAGTTGAGCTGTCTCCCGGGAGGTGAGTTCTCAAAAAGATTCGTTGGAAATGTCTCTCACTCAAATAAGAAAGAAAACCCCACGTGTGTCGTGAAATTACAGCATTTCAGAAAGTTCTACGTGTGTTCTACGAGTCGTTACTTTAAAACAGTTTAAAATACACATAAAACGTAGTATTGGCACAGCGCGCTGAGAACTATCCCTCCTCTATACGCTACGCTCGCTGCTCACTGAAGTAATGAGCGAAGAAACAAAAACACATATCCTTCCGCTGAAGTCAGCGGGGATCTATTAGGCTATTGTTAAAACTTTTGTTAAGCGGGTCTATCTAAATTGGTGCTTTGTAATTAGGTACTCGTCGCGGCTTTTAAATTTTCGCATATTCATTCATTTGATCTTGGACACAATACAAGTTTCTCTTGAAGTTTGCTTTCACTGTGTTGTCGCGGCGGAGGAATTTTCTTCTCGCCAACATAACCCCTGTCATATGTCCCCCCCCCCCCCCCCCTCCCAATTATCTGCACGTTTTTTCCCGATATGTCTCTAAACACCCACTCTTTGCCTTTTTCTTTCTTTACGATAACCTTTAATGCCAGGCCGTGTGCTTCGGTTCAGGTTTACAACGCTACCGCTGGAGTTTTCGGGTAGTTTTGGCATGAGAATCATACCTTTGAGAGACCTTATAATGAAAGACTAACTAAAAGGTTTAGTGATCTCCAAAAAACATCTAAACGTATGCTCATTATAAACGTGTAGTTCTTTTTCTTGACCCACACAACATTATTTTGCCAATGTGTATCATGAAATTGAAGGAAAGACTGAGTAGGTGAGTAAGTAAAGGTGCGTTTCCCATCCACTAGCTTTTTAATCAGTGCTGATACAACGTGTTTACCTCCAGGTTTCTGGTTAGTCTCCCCTTTGTCGGGTGCACATTAGCCAAAGTTACCCTAACTATGGCTGTTTTTGTGAGGAGGATCTTTAGGAGTTACACTCAGTTTTTTGTAGAGTTATTAATAATTGTCGAAAAAAATGCAGTTTTTATAGTTTTCAACTTATAATGATGTCATTCTTTTCCAAAGATTTCATTTTTTAAACTGATGTTGCTGTCATTACAGCCTAAATGATTAGTCGATTAACAAGACAGAACATTAAGTTATGATAATTGATTAGTCACTTATGTCAACTTTGTTGCAAAAATGTCTTTGCTCCTCAAATGTGATAGCTAAACAGATTTTTCTTTAACGTTTTAGATTTTATGATCTTATTGTTAAATTAATATCTTTGGGTTTCACTGTTGATTAGGAAAAAAACAGATACGGTCTTTAAAGATGACATGGTGTTGTGGGAAATTATGGTGGGCACTTTTTAAAATTTTTTGCACAATAATCTGAGAAAATAATCATCTGATTATTCATTTAAATTGCGACCTGTTATACAGATTAAATATGAGGTTGAGGTTGTAACTAGCCCACATAATGCATAATGTTGGTTACCGGAAGAAAGGTATTTCACAATAGTTAAGGTTTTTTTCTTTTTGCTTATCACATTATTTCATTTTTCTGGAGAGCAAGATCCGCTTTTGTACAGATGTCTGCTGAAACACTGCCTTTTCATCACCCAGACAGACACACTCACATTGGCTTTATAAACCATTGGTGACCACAGTAATTCCATACTAATTATCCCTTATCAGTCTGCATGATCCAGGTGTGAATCGCAAGCTCATCACAATAACAAGACCACATTTCATCCTGGTGATTTGTTTGTCTTTACACCCCATTAGAGAAACACTGCCAAGCCTCCTGCGGCTGCGACCAGCCCTCTGTCCTCTTTTCAACCCTGCTGAAAGGCCTGGAACCGGGATTGAGCAAATTGATCTCTTCAGGGGTCCGTACAGACAATGCTTTTTTTCCATGGCCAATGTCAAGCTCTTGCTCTTCATGCGTGGTTGGGTGTCAGGTGCTGACACAACAACAAACACTGTTCAGGCATTTGTTCAGATGCTGCTTATTCTTCTGATCTATCACCAAAACATATAAATCCACTGTTACAGATGCATTGCATCCTGAGCAAACCCCACACGCTTTGTCTTTTTTGACAAAGTAGTGTAAGGTTGTAAATTAATTTCAGTTTAGAATTTCTCCAACTCCTTTTTGATAAATCTCCTATTTCATGGTAAAGCCATGCATGCCCATAGTAAATCACATCAGAGGATCACACTGTCTGCAGCACTGTTTTTCTAATGATGTCACTCCAGATGTGGGCTTCTACAGTTCGGGAAAGAGGGGGTGAGAAAGGGTGTGGCTCTGCCTTGTGAGCAGAAAATGCTGATTAGTTTCTTCTTGCAGTTGTGCTGATGAAAGACTAAACCGTTTCAAAAGAGAAAAGTATTTGGAATTGGGAAAGCTCAGTCTCACTGATGTTGTAAATTCCTTTAAACCATAATATTAAACACATCAACAACCCAACTTGAAAACTTTTGTTTAAGAATACAAAAACCCTTTAAGTTTATCTGCTAACACAATTAGATAATTGCAGTTTTGTTAGTGCTGAATGCACTTACAAACAACATTTAATCTATTTTATTAGCAGGATCAGAATTTTGGATCCACTGCACTTAGGTAAGGCTACCACAGAGTAGTAGTAAAACCTGGCCTGGATCAGAACCACTGGCCTCTGCCATGCTAGTGACAGAGCCCCTTTCATCACTGCTGGAGCTTTTCACACTCATTCGGACCTCATCCGTCAGGGTGACTCCAGCTGTCAGCCAGTAGATTTATTCTGCAGAACATGATGTTCAGTGGGCAGATAGATAGAGTATGTGTTCCTGTGCGGTCCTTGTAATCATAAACATGCCATCTTCCTGTGATGTGGGAACTCATGGGAAACCAAAGCTGTGCCTGTCATTCAAGAAGAACATCATCCAGCCTTTACATTTTAAGATATCAGGGTGGTGAGTCAACATGAAGTGTGTATATGTGACTCCTCTCTATAATTAGCAGTGGCAGGACTAATTCACTTTTCATTTCTCAGCTGATGCAGCAGATTTGTTTGCATAAGTTGTATACACTGTAACTGAAGCAGGTCTCATTCATTGGATCTAAACGCTTCTATGAGCTTCACAGACACTATAAATTTACAATTACACTTTTTATACCTTGTAACATTATGCAGACTTTATGATAAACTTTAATGCACCTATGTATGGTTCACTGAGATCAGGTTTAGTTAATGTGAGTGTCAGCTAGTAGGCATTTTGTGCTGAGTCTAAACCCTAAGTATTAGTTGGGAAGGTGTAACCTCCTCTGTGCCCCCTTAAAGACTTGCACATTGCACTGGAATCACCATCTATCTAATGTCATCTTTACTGTGTAAGCAGATCTGGAGGGACAGGAAGCTAAAGGGGGTATATTTAGGGATGATTATTGCCTCCTCCTCTCTCACTGACCTGTTTTGATAGCTTTTAAAAAAAGAAGAAGAAGAAAACAAGCGGTCTGCACACAGCTTTACATTTGTGCTATATGTGCCTCATTCTGCAAAAGGATAAAAACCTATGTATAAAAAGTTTGAATTAAATCAGATGTGAGATTTGTTTCCTTTGTGAGATTATAAATGTCAACATTTAACAGATCATGAACTTGGTCAGACATGAAATCATCTTCAAAGAAAGTAAACATATCTTTGTGCACTTTTTATTGGTTTCAGTTTAATTGGAAAATATCAAGATAAAAGCCATGTTGAATAGCCATAGATAAAAAGAGAAATTTTATTGCTCAAAGCTGATTTACTATGATCCTACACTCAATTAAGATTAAGCTGAGGTTGTCATCTGAGACTGTAATTACTTTATTAATAGACAAGCTGATGAATCACTTTGCTGACAGCATGCAAAACCAAAAAAGATTGTAATGCAGCAGATCTCATTAGTTGCTGACATTCCTTGGTTTTTCACATGCAGAATATAGTATGTTACACAAGTATATTTTGCTGTGGTCATTGTACTTGGAGAAAGCAAAGATTTTGTGTGAGAAACTATGATAATGTGTGCATGTGAATGTGTGTGTCATGGTGCTCCACAGGGTCAAAGGTGGAGTGAATGCAGGGACCCAGTATGACTGAGCATAATGTGGGTAGAGCTGAAGAGGAACGGGAGTTAGCAGCGAGGTGAGGAAACAGGTGATGAAGGAAAAGTGTGAGGAGGAGGAGGAGGAGGAGGGATGTGTGTATGTGTATGTAAACACATCCTGTAAGGTGAACCAGGGCTCTGGCTGGGCCAGGTGGACAGGAATGTGCTGTTGTGTGTGGATGGGATCCTCCCTTGAGTGTCCCAGCCTGCCCACCGCTACCCCACATGAGCAGGCTATTTATATTGCAGTGTGGGAAAATATTGGCTCCAGTGGTGTCATTTGGGTTCTGCAAAGTTTTCTACTCCCCACCCACACACACGCATATATACAAAACACACGCGGAATACACACATAACACCAACATGATTCCCAACTCCCTTAACAACTTAAGGATAAACTAGAGCATGTAGCCTAACTGGTGTATTGGTCTTTTAACATTGGCATTTTCACTGCATTTATCAATTATACTTTAAGTAATACTACCTGAGGCAATGACTAGGAAACAGATTTTGAGTACTGATAGGATTTTCACAACACAAACATAGACACACCACTCATGCATGTTGAATTCTCATATGTGGAGAGCAAGCATTCCTCAGTCTTCTAGAACTGTGCCTCAGGGATGGATACTGTCTGCTGTGGCAAGCAAATGGGAAGATGAAAATAATATAGAGGTATAGACTTTGAAATACTAAGGTAGACATGCAGCATATCTATGGACCTAACATGACTCTTGACTTGAGGATGGTCCAGCATGTAATCTAATGTGGAAAAATGTTGACCAAATTATGATCTTTGTAGTGTAGCACTAGGCCAAATTAACCCAAAATAACCATGGCTTTTATTTCAATATTCAGTGTTGGAACTAATATTTGAAAAGCCCCCAAACACCCTTAATCAAAGTGAAATGAGTTTGTAATGATTTTATGGCAGAGAAAAATACTACTTGCAGTGCACACTTGCTGGTTGTTAACTGCTTTTAAGCACAGAGGTATATTTACATGATGGGACTGATTCTGCAAAGGGAGTAATAGTAGAGCACCTGAGGGTAACACCATGACCTCTGCACATAACCCACCATAACAAATATACATTTTATGTTGCTGGATGATATTTGGATTTGAGAGGGATCTCACTGAGGGCAAATTCAGGCCTGCCAACTTAGAATCATTTTTATTTGCTAAGTATGTTGAACACACAAGGAGTCTGACTCCAGTACAGTGGCTTTCAATGTGCTTTTGTAAGTCAACCAGAAAAAAGTGTACTTAAATAAAGCAAAACAAAGAGACAAAACAATCTACTAATAAATATATATGCTGTACATATATATAGCATACATATAATATATATAACTCACATTCACACTCATCTCAGCCCTGTATACATTAACACATGGGGCTGCACACCGACCCACAGATGTATGCATGCACCAACACTGAAACATAAACACAAAAATTCTGACATACATCATGCTCTGGTCCCTGAGGCCCATGAGTGCTGAAGGTCAAATTAATCTGCCACAGTCCATGATATTCACCACAGAGACAGGATGAGAATAACAGGGACAGGATAGACAGGATAAATGAAAAGAACATAATATGTGGGTTGACATTAATGAGTGCAGGTATGATTGGTTTGGTTTTATCCTGTTGTAAAAGAATGTGAGCATAATACAGTTGTCCAAATAAAGGTAATATACAGTACAAACCACAGAAAGATTTAAAACTGCATGCAACATGGCCATGCAGGGGCAAAAAATAAGGTGACATAAAATAAGCCAAACTATAAACAATGTGCAACACAGTACAAGTTAATAAAACTTATTTCCATGGTCTCTATACATTTTAAAAGAAGCATCTCTAATATTCTAATTGTTTCTGATAGAATCTGGTGATGATTTTGTACATTTTCTACCTGGATAAAACCTTTTCCAGTAAGTTTTTAAATTTTCTTCATGCTCAGTTCATAATGTGTGCAGACCATGTTTCTCTGCATGTCTATGTGCTTTGGTCCCCTACTGAAAGTTACTGTAACCCACCACAGAACATAAAAAGCTTGCCTGCGTATGATGTTTATACTTTTCCACAATTATGTCTGCTCAAATGCTCTTAGTTGCATTGAATACAAACAAAAAACTACCTATGCCGTTTTACCTTCTGTTATATTATATGTAAATCTTCTGCTGACTGTTTTTTTTCTGGGATATCTGCTGCTGTTGGTCATTTGCAGTACTGTGTATACCTCATATGCTATTTGCACCTCATCACCAATGCCCTAGTGATTCTGAACCATCTGACAATCTCTTATTATTGTTCACACTACTGTCACTGACTGTACACGGTTTTGAGTCACAGCTTATTGGCTGTACCGTATAGATTTATCCTAATTACGTTAATCCAGTTCTTATTCTATTCTATTCTATTTTTGTTCTACTTTATTCTATTTTAGTTCCTAAATGTTATGGCACCCAATACTAGGTGAAAGAAAAACACTATTTCGATTTTCTGTATGTCTTGCACATATGGTGAATTGACAATAGAATCCTTAAATCTTGAACCTTATAGAGAGTGTAAAGTGAATGTGCTTGGCTTATCTTCTAGGGTTAATTGTACCATAAATTTACAAGCTGCTAAAAGACAGGTATGGCTGGAATTCACACTTCAGCCCTCACTTTCTCACAAGCTCACCCCAGCATTGTGTGTGTGCGTGTCAGATAAGATGCCAATAATAACCCACTGATGTTATTTATTTGAAGAAAAGGAGAGATAAATGAAAAACTGAAAAAAAGACAAAGTATGGAGATAAATGCAGCATACAGTTACATTATAGTACTAATATGGAGCCATGACAACAGTTCATTGATGAGTATCTTTTTGACCAGGCACTGACTCCTGATTTTGATCAAATGATCTCTCCAGCATACATTTTGTATGTATTACATATTACATAATACATACTGTATGTACATGTGTACTTACATGTATGCACATGTTTCATATACATACATACATTATATGTTTTGTTCCCCTACTTACTCACTGTTTCTCACATTTCTCACTTCCCACTTTACACTCTGATTTTGTTTAGTTAGTTCTAGCATGAGATGTAGGTGAACATAGAGTGCTGGGAAAAAGAAAATTTATTACATTGGTTTTATGACAGAGTTAAAGGTCTGTTCTTTTTTTAAACAGACACATGCAGTATTATGATGGCAATGTGTGAAGGGTCATCGTTGCTCTGTGACAAGGTGATAAAGAATACATAGAGTGTAGAGCATGTCCATGCCTGTGCAAAACACTCAATGTTGACCCCCCCGTGAGAAGTTCCCGGTTCCCAGGACCCGGTGTGTACGTTTGGGGGGCAATAATTCACCAGGTCCCTTGACTTCCTCTTTCAGCTTTATCCGTTTTATGGTCCTCTCTTCTGTCATACAGCTGCTGTCTCCGCAGCTTCCCTGTGCTCTCATTGGATCAGGCAAGAGTTTGAGGGAAGAGGATGAAGGGGAAGAGACCGGGAAGCAGCTGGGATGAGGTGGGAAGCTGGCTTGATATGAGATGGAACAGGTTTTTATCATAGCTATTATAGTTGACCTCATAGACAACTTCCCTTGCTGTGGTCCACATCTTACTGATCCTTTACCACTGTACACCACACTGTGCATACATGTACACCACGTAGAGCGGGAAACAAGATAATACTTTCTAATCTAGTTAACAAACATTACCATTCTAACATGCTAAACTAATAAGGTTATATATGCTTAGCATTGTGCATCAGCATTATTACTGTGGAACTGTTAGCATGTTGGTGTTAGCATTTTGCACAAAGTAGCCTACTGCCAGCATTGCTGTAGTTTTTACTGTTGGGTTACCTAAGTAAATCAAGTGGTGAACTGTGATAATCTACTCAAGCTCCTTTCATATATGTCACTATTTGCTGCTGATAGCTTTAAGATTCAAACTATCAAGTTAATATTAGTTAATAATAAATTTAGGCTTTGCAGTTTTGAATTTCACATTCATATTTTGTGCAGTCAGTGATACACCTGATACACAGTTCTGAGGTGAAACTTGAATGTGAGTGTTATGTTAACACACAGGGCAAAATATACCACTGGTTAAAGTTAACATTGTTGGTGCACCGACTGACCCAAGTTGTGTCAGTTAACGCAACTGATTTTAGTATGTTGGTTAAAAAAATTGTCCTTTTTTGTCAAATGCTGTTATAAAATAAGGTCTACACAGCCTCAGGGGGGGCGGAGTCATCAGACTATCGTGAGACACACGTTACAAACATCTGTAGGTTACAGCATAACCTCCCATTAGTCAGATCATATCTGTGAAGTTCAGTGGACACAGGGCACATGAGAATAAATTTCCAACTAAGCTTGCTGTCTGACTTTGTTCCAGGCCATGATGAAGCTGGGCTGCCAGAAATGTGACTGAAACTCTCTCGCTGTCTCTGAATTTGCATGCTCAGCTTTTCTAGATTTTGAGAGGAAGTGACTGAAGTCAAAGTCAAGGTCACATTTTAATGTCCTGTTTCTTTAAGATTGCACAACACTCAAGAGACGTCAAATGTGGGTGGATGGTCTTGTGGTTATGTCTGTGTCTTACACAGGAAATTTAATCAAGACAGAGTAATATGAGTTAGCACGAGTACACGCCATAGGCTTTGTTCTTGATGTGTAGAAAGTACTGCAGCCTTTCTGCAGTGCTGTGTTTATGAGTGTGTGCGTGTCAAGTCAGGCTACATGTGCCATATCCCTGACCCCTGATCACATAAAGTATTTTAATCCAATCAGCTTTGTTTTCACATGACTGTCATACACTTGCTGCTGCTATGGTAACCTACAGACAAAGGAGAGAAAGTATTGGAGTGAGGGACGAGTTTGTTGTCCTCCCTTTAATCACATTTACAAACATAATCAGACATGGATTTTACACTTTACCTCTTCCATGTTTCTGATACATTTCTAAGGAATTTTTTAATCCTTTTGATAATGAGAGTACATGTGGCAGAGGAAATAAGTTACTGATATGAAGTTCAATGGAAAAGGCAGAAAGCAGACAATAACAAAACATCAATTATTTGAAATAATAATAATAATACAAAAATGCTACAGGAAATTCAGTCTATGTATTTTAACATTTAGCACGTCACATTGCATCATCAGTGGTCAGTTTGTTCCAGAAAGCTAAACAACTGACATATTAAAGGAATTAAAGTGATTAAGGCAGTTGGCGCATGATGATAACAAAATAAAAACTTAAGGTAACTTGCTGCAAAGATAAAAATTTTTTTTTTTTAAAGAACTGTGTTGCTGCACTGTCACAGAAGGCCAAACAGTTTAAGTACAGGGAGAATAGTGACAGACTTGTAGGATATGATTAAAAATAATACATTTTTCCAACAGATACAGGATTATTTTTATACTTCTGCTGCTGCAGAAATGATAGATGAATATGTAAAGGCTGCAACCATGAGCACAGTATCACATACATCAACATTACTGTACACAGAAATACACTAACAAGTCAGCAACAGAGACACTTAGGAAAAAGAATGGTTTGCAAGCAGTATCTTTCAGCTAATCAAAGGTATTTCATTAACTGGAGATTAGAAAAGATAAATCTGATAATTGAGGTCAAACTCACAAATACCTACTTCCCTTTAGAGTTGAAAAGGTTAGTCTGTGCCATGTGGTTTGTTTTTGGCTCGCTACCATCTGCTGCTTCTCATTTTTCTCTGACATTTCCTGTTCTGCCCTCAGGTTGAAGAATTATGCTTAAAACGCTAGTAGTTGCTGCATTTACTGCCCTACCAAAAACCTGTATCTGTTACTTATTTCTTACTCTCTCTCTTACCCTGGAAGCTACATCTTATATTTTTACATCTTTTAAGACTAACCTATGATTTGGCAGTAAGAGGAGGCCACTGTCAGCAGCAGACGTTGCATGTCAGGGAGATTTTATGCTTAGTTTTTCAACATTGAGCAAAGTACTCTACCTGCTGGTGAGGAGTGGAATCACCAGACTGTATTTACAGTGGCAAACAAAATGACACATTACCTGAGAGTGCACTTTGAGTCACTGAGTTTCCTACTCAGAATTTGGGGTTAACCTCTAGAGTCCTGAGCTTTGGAAAACCCAAGCTGTGCGGTCCTCATATGAGGACCGCACAGCTTGGGTTTTCCAAAGCTCAGGACTCTAGAGGTTAAACATGTTTGTTTTATTTATGTTTTTCCCCATTTTGTATTTAGAGGGTTTTTTCCTGGAAGTTTTTTGCATACCCTACTGTATATTACTCAGATGGAAATAGGAAAATCCGTTGTAAATGTTAAATCTTTTAAATGAGTTTTGACATTTATTCATAGACAACCCTGCTCAAATGACTTTTTTGTTAATAACCTAAGAACAATCATTATGAGTTGGTGGCACTTTGCAGTCCTGTGTCTGTATTTTGTATACTGTATATGGCCTTATAATGCAAGCATCTCGATTTGTACTTCCAGTTGAAGAGTTTAGCTCAAGGTGATCTGACAAAGAAAGTGTGCTTTGTGCAAATGATTTTATTCATAGATAACAGACAGAACAGAAAAAAAAGATGTCCTTTCCAGCTGAGAACAGACAGTGGCTGCCTCTAACACCTGTGACTCTCAACTTGAATTTGCTTTTAAATCAAGTCTACACATGTGTAATCTTCATACAAAATAAAAAGACCTGACCAGACAGAAAACCCTTTTTCATGCCTGCTTATAAACAACTGCTGCTCCACACAGTCATGTGGTACAAGAGAGCATAAATACACACAGTTAGAGACTGTATGAAAATTATTGTGGCAGAAAGGGGGATAGAATCATCCATTTCAGTCTTTGAAAAAGCAAGGCCCTTCTCAACATATCAGTTCTTTTTGCTGCCCCTCACCCACCCTCTGCGTATGGTAACATGACCCACTTTGCACAATCAACCATCATTTGCACCAATACGATCCTATTTAGATCATATAGGAAGGACATGCAGAAATATAAAATTGTGAGTAAAACTTTAATGATCAACCCCTTCTCTCCCAAAATGTCAGACTACCCCTCTCTTCAGCAAAAAATACACCCCCACCTTTTTTTGACCACCCCTTCCTTCCTAATAATTTTTGTATAGTCCCTTGTGTGGTCAAAAAAAAAAAAATCAGCTAGAAACTGCATTTGCAAGGCTTCCACACAGTATAAAAAAAATCAAAACAAAACAGTTTACTCTGCTTATGTACTTGCTGAGACCATTACTGTCTGAGGATTAATGGTGTTTTTCATGTATTTGTAGATGGAATACATACTGCACGTTGTCCAGGCCCATCAAGCAGTCACTACTATAATTATTGGGTTAATGAATGGCAAAACCTATATGATGTGCTCAGGATAATACAAGTATTATGTCTATTGTAATGTTTTCTCTCTTATGGATTATCCATGAGTATACACGCTTAAATCATCCACTGCTGTTACAGAACAGCTTTGGAAAGTCACAAACAGGAAGTTTTTTTCTCTTCATTTTTCTACACTACAAATCATCTTCAAAATCAAAGCAGTCAGCCCACACATACACACACATACACACACGCTCGCACTCACTCACTCATTTCCTTTTAACCTAAATCCAAAGCAACTACTAGCGAATTACTGTATAACTGTTAAAAATAAAACTGTGTATTATGACATCATTTATATCCACATCACACATCCATGGACAGATGAGAACAGAACGGCCGGTGGTGGTAAGTTTGTAAAGTCTTATTAAGAGCAGGAATCCTGTCCTAAGTCATAGGTGACAGCTTTTCTTAGTGTCTGCAGACTCTGTGCAGCTCATTTTCACTTCAATACCTCCTCCCTCTTCTTCGTCTCTGTTGCTCTCAGAGCCACCAGAAGCGTACATAGACAATGAGCATGATGAAAAAGACACCACCGGCTGCCAGCTTGGCATAGGTGGAGCGGGTATTCAGATACTTGGCGTCGCTCCTGTATTTCTTTGACAGGGAGGACAAGTTGCTGGCCTTAGAGTCGAGAGCTGCAGGGAGGAGAAACCAGAGGAAAGGAGATGGGAGTTCAAAACAAAAGAGGAAAGAGGAGAGTGAAAAGGGGAGGAGGAAGAAACACATAAGGAAAAAACAAATACAGAGAGAGGCAGTCACAAATCACAGGGTTTTATTATTCATTCTAAGTACAATACAACCCATCAGTATGACCTAATAGGCATGACGTAATGTGGACTCACCAGAGAGAGCCTCTCCTCTCTGCAGCACTTCCTCTATGTTAGCCACCATGATCCTCTGTACATCCTGGAGCTCTGTGTTGATGCTACCCAGATTCCTTCTTGCTCGGCTGTCGATGTACGACTTCTTGGTTTTTTGGATGTAAGTGTCTGATAATGGAGAGACATGAATAATAAAAGCCATTAAATGCCGCCTGTGGCATCTTTTCTCAAAATATTTTCTGCATATCTGATGATGTCCCCTTCCCTGACTGTGGCCCAACACCCTCAAAGTGAAGAGCCACTTAATGAGACACAAAGTGAGAGTTCTTGTCTACTGGTTTTCTATGAGAAACAAGCAAATCACTTTTCAAGGCACTGTGGGACCGCAAATGTTGCAGAATTAACCAGTGATGTGAGGACAGGGAGAGTTGGAAGTTAAAAAATGAAAACGTCATGTCATTGTACAAAACTGGCCTGGAGGCTCCCCCTGATGTCTCCAGTTGAAATTACACCCTTGCACAAGAGAGAATTTTTATACAGGTCAGTGCTTCTGCTATCCATTACATTCAGCAAGTCACTCTGACTCCAGTGTTAATGCTGTTTTCATGTTACCTTACAAAGAAAATGGCTCCAGTTAGTTCCACACTGGTATACAGTAGGGGTGTGCAATACTGACAAAGCATGATATCTGGATATTTTTGGTATTTTCTCGATAACAATAAGCATACATTATTTTGCATCCATCAAAAAATGTGTACTAGGTCCCAACTAACTGTTGCTTGCTAATGATATTAATGGAAACAACATATTTCATACACTGACTCAGTCCAAACTGAAGCATTTAGGCGCAACAATACACAAACCTGTTTCCCACTGAATTAGTCTACTTGTTTTTTTTATTATATAGGAGTAACAGCGTAATAGTTGTAACACACCGGCCACTTTATTAGGTATACCTGTACAACTGTATGTACTTCATTGAAACACTTTAGCCTTAACCTGTGTGTTTATGAAGCTCAAAATGCTTCATTTGTTGATGAAATTGTCATAAATGTATAAATTCAATTATAAGTTTATTCTGAGGAAGACATACATAAATATATACTCACCTCTAAATGTAATGTAGTCCAGTACAACACCACCTTTAACTATGACCTCAGTAATTAACATTTAATTGAATTTATACATTTACAACAGTTTTGCCAAAAAATGAAACATTCTGAGCTTCATAGACAGATGTTAAGGCGGAAGTGTTGCATTAAATTGCATACAATTGTAGAGGTGTACCTAATAAAGTGGCTGGGGAGTGTAAATTGCATAGCCCTAGTATACACCAATGCATTTGAAACAAACTACAAGTAAACATGTTATCTACTGAAAATACAGTATGACTACTGCTACTACTACTACCAATGTCAAAACAGCTACCGATTTGAATCAGTAGTGGGACTAAATGTGCAACATGATTTCCTTCTTACCAAATTCAATGAAGGAGTAAGGCCGGGACACCACGGACACCTTCTTTCCATGCTGCTCATGAAACTCTGCCTGCAGATCTTCTAAGTAAGCAAAAGCCAGTTTCTTGGGAAAGCTGGCATCACACAGCACAAGGTAGCATACACCTTTCTCTATATAATAGCTGCAGGAAGGACCAAGAAAGGGATATTAACTTGGTATGTAAAGTTCATGAGTCCTGCCTGAACCACACTGTGGCACAACTGCTTCCAAATGATCAAGAAAGCATTACAGAGAAAATTTTATTTAAAACATGCCTGCATGAAGACAACTGGCAGGTGTTCTTTTACTGTACTACAGAACTAGCCATTAAATATTAGACAATGAATCTTTTGACCTGTGGTTGTGTTTTTTTGCACACTCCATCATACTTACTGAAATGCCATAGAACCAGCCTCTAACGTACAGCGGGTAGGACTCTGGTCATTGAGTTTCCTGAATAGCTGCTTAGCTTGACTCTGATACTGCTGAATATCCCGACCCAACTAAAAAAAAAACAAAACAAAGAAAAACCTTGTCATCACATGACTGACTCATATATCACACAAAAAAACCTGCATTAAATCAGAGCAAGAAACTGACACCTGGCCATTGACAGGCAGAGTTAACTAATAACTTTCACTGTTTTACCTGAAGACATAAAAATGACAAAAATGTGTGTGCAATGACTTGCTTAAATGCTTGACCAAACAGATAAAAATTGCAACTACCCACAGTTAAAATTTCACACTTTTTTCAGTGATGGTGTTAATTTCTTGCCCTATAAGTGTACTAAAAATAAACAGCTGGCATCAAAGACTACAGACAGACTCAGCAGTGTGATGCTACATCTGAGACTGAAGACAATATGAATTAAAAGCAATTAAAAGTAAACTGTTCATCATTTGTCCAGTGGTGACATTCATTTTTTGGGTGGTGGTGTTTCCAGCAAATGAGACTGTTTACAGCAGCACTGTAGCATCACAGTAGCACATACGACGTTGAAGCACAGAGCAGACAACACAACAAACCTTTTCACTTCCCTTTTGGAAAGCAAACAAGAGAGTGAGGGAAAGATGTTAGACTCCTATCAAGTCACGCTCAGACATAACAAAACAATTTAACATGTAACAAATGACATATATTTGAAAATTTAAAAAATGTATAACATTAATATGCGTCTTGTGACTCTGCCAACTTTATAGAAGAGCAAACCTTTCAGCTACATTTTCAGGCAAAAATTACTTCTGAGCTGTTTTGGTGTCATCTCACAGGGCTTAAATACAGTCCCACTGTAAAATCAATAGGATGTGAAAATATAAAATACACATTTTCTTTAAAAGAACAGACGTTACTCAGTAGAGCTAGACTGATACCATAAATGAGATTAGGGCTGGGCAATTATTAAAAAGTTATTTCCAATTATGAGATAGACTTCCAGCAATTATAACAAGATAAAACTGTTGCATTCCATTTTTACAATGCTCTCATTTCATCTTGTGTTATAAATCCAGCACACCCTTTTATTTTACAAATCTATACTTTGGCTGCTCCCTACAAGCCCAAACTCACTCTTAGCCAGGCTGCAACCAAATGATGCTTCATTTGCTAGCCACTGTTAAAATGACAAGCTTTTAAAAATGGCCAATAAATGCAATGATGTTTCCAAGGTCAGTGAGTCATCATGTTAAATAATCATATTATTATTGAGGAATAAGTGGTGTAGACAATGGATGGATCGATATGCATGTGAGATCATTGCTTATCAATTCCAATTAATGCATCATCAGAAATAAATCAAGCGTGTGGGTTGCTGAAACCTAAAAAAATCTAAATTATCTCAAACTCACATACCAAAAGCATTTCCTTTCTTGAGAATGCTCTCTTTAAAATTCAGCTCAAATGTGTTACGTTTTAAAAGTATATCAGACGTTTAAGGGCTTGTGTTGCAAAGAACTGGAATGACCTGGCACTTGTGGGGCGGCCAATAATTCGATGAAGGGGGCCATGTCAGCACTCTGAACGTTCTGTGTACATAGAGACAGGCCTGCTGCAGGAAGCACCCGGCTGTCACCTAATAATACTGTACAGCTGAATTAAGTTTCATACAAACTTAGCCAGTGGTCAAGTCCTTTAGTCCTCCGGGACCCATCGTGACTATGGGACTCCCTGCTGCCCAGCCCATTGATGGTAGCTAACGTGTCGCTATAGTATTCGTACAACTTAGAATACTTCACAGCAGATAGCCCGTAATGATACCAGCAAACAGACAGCTAGCGACTACAGAGCAAAAGAGCTAAAATGTTAAACCTGCTCGTCCTCCTGCATCGACGCGGCCAGCGGCAGTCCATCCGCCAGCCGAGCAATCATCGTCAGCAGAACCATCTCTCCGCGATTTAGTAGTGTTTCTCCACAGCACACGAAATGTTACACGTAACTGGTACTAGAGTTTGACAGGCTGTAAAATGACAACACCACAGTACTGACGCGCTGAGCTGGCCGGAAACTCTACAGATATGCGTCACAGCGCAGTAATTCCGCCTTCTTATTATGCGGAACCAAGATGCCACAAAGAAGGTTCTGCACCACTTTCAATTGTAATTTTTTCATTTCTAGTATAAACAAGATATGTCTGCTTTTATAGTGGTTAGTTTCAGGCGGAGAAACACTCTT